AGAGAGAGAGAGAGAGAGAGAGAGAGAGAGAGAGAGAGAGAGAGAGAGAGAGAGAGAGTGAGCGGTGCGCCCGGTTAAAGCTCGTAGCTCGAGAATGTCGCTCACGCCGCTACTTAACTGCGCCTGGGCGATGTTCGGTCGTGCAACCGTCGTAAGTGTAGTGTGATAGTCGATCATGCGCCTGCCGCGCAGACGGCGAAAACCGTCTAACAGTATTATACTTTCCATGTTTTTTTTTGTATTTTTGTTTTTTTTCAAGGAATTAAATTCCACGAAATAAGTTTGCACATAAATAAACAAAATTAAAATCACGAGGGTGTAACTGTCCAAGGGTGAATAGCATGGAGATGTTTGCCCAAAGGATGGTTGTCCATGGGGGTAATTGTCGTGGTTAATAGTCCGGCGGTGGTTGTCTGGTGGTAATTGTCCGGGGGGATCAATTTTTCGGCGGTAATGTAGGGAGATTGTATTGGGGCGGGGTAATTGTCCAGGGGTAAATGGCATGGAGTGGTTGCCCCCAAAGGATGATTGTCCAGCACGTCTAGATGGGTAATTTTTCGGGGTAATCGTCCAGTAGTGATTATCTGGTGGTAATTTTCGGCGGTAACTGTCCGGGGGTGATTGTGCAGGGGGCATGGGGGTTATCGTACAGGGGTAATTTCCCGGGATGACTGTCTGGGGATAACTGTTCACTGGCGAGTGGTGATTCTCCAGGGGGTAATTGTCCAGGGGTGAATGGCATGGCGAGTAACTGCCCATAGGGCAACGATCCAGGTGATGAACGCCCAGTGGGTGAATGACATGATGGGTAAATATCCGAAGTTGATTGATTGTCCATGTGTATTTGTCCTAGAACCCACAAGAGATGATCTGGCGGCCATCTTGAGATACGCCCGTACGACTAAAATTCACTCGCGAACGCCAAGCTGAAGCTACGAACTGGCGTGGGAGCGTGGATTCCAGAATGATCGACCGCTGTTTGCGCAATGGCCGCGTGCAGTAATAACACAAACGCGGGATTCACAAACAACGACGAGACGCGAGTCTCGAAAACCAGTCTCGAGAAATTTTCCCCGGGAGACGGACGCCTCACACTGATTCATCTTTGCCATCAGACAGAATCTCGCAAAATTTCGGCAACAAATTCGGATTCGAACGACAAGCTGCTGGTTGTAACAAGTTAGAAAATCGACTGCTGGTAGAATATGAGCACAAATATAATTAGGCACGCTGTTTGTACAGTCAACCCTTTATATAAGGGTAACCCCAGATAATCACCCATAAGTGTCCCATACAAACAAATAGGCGTCCGTTCTATGCACGTGATTATACTGTGTAACTATACACAGGGGATGCGGGGCAGGGGACGGCAATATGGGAAACGGCAAGTCGCCTTTATAGACGAGTTTTCGTTTCATGGAGGTAGTTTTGACCATATAAGCATGACCCAGATGAAACCCAATGCGTGTTAATTAGACACAGGTGTTCGCATCGAAGAGGTGGCTTCATTGTTTTATTTGTAAACAGATGCTCGTTCTATTAGCCGTATATAGAGCCGTTCTATAGAGCTGTTCGTAAGCACAGGTACTGACTGTACGCAGCAGGGCTGAGAAGCGTGCTAGTGACTGTGGTAAGCTGCGACACGTCTCATCACCATCGTCACCACGCACCTCGTACTCCTTATTGATGCCGCTGAGGCACCAGTTGTCGTTGGGCACGCCCATGCGCGAGTACTCTGCCTGCATATCGTAGATTGCCCAGCCGGCTGACTTGTACAGATCATCAGTCGACGGCCTGCAACAACGACACAGCGACAGTTCACAACCACAGATATGCTATACAATACAAATATATATACATGTATATATATATGTGTGTGTGTGCGTGTGCGTGTGCGTGTGCGTGTGCGTGTGCGTGTGCGTGTGCGTGTGCGTCCGCGTCCGCGTCCGCGTCCGCGCGCGCGCGCGCGCGCGTGCCTGTGTATAATACAGTTTATATAGATACTAACAACACAACAACGTATAATAACAACGTGGAGCTGGCCAGCGTATAGGTGCGAACATTCCTTTACAGCTTCCCCTACACTCTGCTAGCTTTCATTACCCTCCCGCACTATTTGGTCCGCCTCTCCCATCTTTCCCTATAGCCTCTTCTAGATTTCCCTAGCTTCGCCTAGCTTTCGTTACCCTTCCCCCACTCTGCTTTGCATTCACTAGCTTTCCTAATTACTCTGCCCCACTTTTTGCTCTGCCTCCTCTAGCTTTCCCTAACTTCCCCTACCCCTAGCTTAGCACCCGCTAGCGCTCACCTAGCATCCACCCAATACTGCTAGCATACTCGCACTATGTCAGATTTAGTTTGGCAGTGTCATCGGCTACTTGAGTCGAGTTAGGATAACTAGAGTGCTATGCCGGCCGACGTGGAAACTAATCAGCTAAGTGCCAGCCGATATCGCGGCCCGTGCAGGAAATCCGACTTCAATCCGAATTAGCAGACGGCAGACAGCGCCTGGATGTCGATGACGTGAGACACGTGCGCGGCAATGCGAGCGCAAAAAGCTGACGCTTCGGCTCCGCGTGAAGCGCACAGCTCAGCAGCTACGCAGCGCGTCAGAACACGTTAACGTTAATTTACGTTAACTACGCTTGTAACGTAACATAGCCGTCGCGATGCGTTCTATCAGTTTTATTAGGATTTATTTATGACGTCACATATTATAATACGCACGCGAATTAACACATTTTAACGTAACGCCCACCGGGCAAGCATGAATAAATCGTAATTCGTTATTATTACTCGGACGCGTGATTCGACCGCATAAACTGATGACGTCATAGTGACAATCAGAACATGCGCAAGTGCAGGTGTTTGGATTAGCAGGGTTCCGCGCGCACGCGCCAAGCGTGTTATATATACGATGACACAATGTTGGCTCCAAGACGTATCTCCTCATTCTGCTAATGGTCGAGTGGAGTAATGCGATTGGCAATCAAGTGCTAATCTAGGGCCGTGGTAATGGAGGGCACGTGGGAGGGGGGTTTGCGAGGGTGGTAGAAAGACAACCAGATATGAATTTAAAAGATTTAATGTAATCGAAAGAGAAATGTAGCTAAAACTAGTAAAAGTGGGAGGATGGTAGTGGTAGAGCGAACGAAAGTTAAAGAAAGAAAGTAAGTATGTATGAGATAAAGGGGTAGCGGGACGAGAAACAGAGAAAAAAATGAGGGTGCGCCACCCGCGATAACTAACGCGAGAGAGACAGACAGACAGACAGACAGGCAGAGAAAGGGAGAGAGGCAGTGAGAGAGAGTGCGTGCGTGCGTGCGTGCGTGCGTGCATGGTTAAGAAAGAGAGAGACAAGAGCAGAAGAAGATGAAAGAGAGTGCACGTATGTGAGAGAGAGACAGCGAGAGCGAGAAAGAGAGAATGTGTGTGTGTGTGCAAGAGAGAAAGCAAGAGAGTTGATGGGCGAAGAGTAGGAGCAATACGTTAAAAGCTATCAGGCGAGCAAACACGCGCAGCTACTCTTCGCAAACACTCGAGACAAAGTATTCAACGCTTGAAAAGACGCAATTGTCATACAAGACATTCTAACTGTGCTTGCCATATCGCATTTATAGCGGCTAGAGTAGTCGGGCGTGGTTGGCGTGCCAGGCATGCAATCGGGCACCGATGTGGGTAGAACTATAGCAGAGTGTGGTTGTTCGGCCGAGGATTGAAATACGAAGAAAAAGTCGTGAACCAACGTCTGCCGTCTTGCCTATTGTAGTACGCGGCTGTGTGGGTACATCGGAACGTAGCGGGAACACGAAGCTAGCGCATGTCCGCAGCCGACAACACGAGCAGACGTGATAAACGCACAATCGCTACCAAACTGACCATCGCCCCCTCACGTTGACCGTTGACATGCCATTTACCCTTTATCGGGTCATACTTTATCCAAGGTTGAACTGACCTTTGACACTTATTGACTCGAGATGACCTTAACAGTTGACTGCGAGTCGATTTTTAACCCGCGTTGACCGTTAACACCCGAGATGACCTTAACAGTTAACCCTGGATCGAATTTTAACCCACTTGAACTTTGACACCCATCGATTTGAGATTACCTTAACAGAAGACCCCGCGTTGATCTTTGACACCCATTGACCAGAAATTACCTTAACAGTCGACCTTTAACCCGGGTTGACCTTTGACACCCGAGATGACCTTAACAGTTGACTCCGGGTTGACCTTGACCCCCCGCGCGCACTGACCTGTAGTGGAAGGCGTAGAGCTCTTCGATGTTGAGTGGGCGTGACAGCCTGAGCAGAGCCGTGTAGACGTCCTGGCAGTCGCGCTCGCGCGGGATGACGAACGTGACGCAGTGGAACGTCTTGCAGCGTATCTGCAGCGGCGATCCGACGGTCGTCAGGCTGAGCCTGTCGACGCTGCCGATGTGCATCAGCAGCACCTGCGTGCGACACATAGAGCAGAGTAAGAGAATGTGTGAGTGTGTATGGGTCTCTCTCTCTATATATAATATATATAATATATCTCTCTGTGTGTGTCTCTCTCCCCCTGTCTCGCTCTCTCTCTCTCTCTCTCTCTCTCTCTCTCTCTCTCTCTCTCTCTCTCTCTCTCTCTCTCTCTCTCTCTCTCTCTCTCTCGCTGTGTGTGTGTGTGTGTGTGTGTGTGTGTGTGTCGTGTGGTGTGTGTGTGTGGTGTGTGTTGTGTGGTGTGTGTGTGTGTGTTCGTTGGTCGTGTCACAGATTATCAACAGAGAGACAGAGAGCAAGAGAGAGAAGGTGGGGGATTAGAGAGTGAGAGAGAGAGAGAGAGAGAGAGAGAGAGAGAGAGAGCGAGAAGGTGGGGGAAATTAGAGAGAGAAAGAGAGAGAGAGAGAGAGAGAGAGAGAGAGCGAGGAGAGAGAGAAAGAGAAATAGAGGAAGAAAGATAAAGGGAGAGGAGATGGGGAGAGAGAGCGACCTCACAGAACCTTCCCGCAATAGCGCTAAGTATTCGACTCATATCAAACGGTACGAGTAGGGTGTAGCCAGTTTATATAAGGCGAATTTCGCGTGCACATTAGGCCTCTCCTGCGGAAATACAGTTTATTGGCAGTATTAGCAAGTGATTTGAACCTTTCGACCGGTACGGGTTTTGCATTAGCCGCAAACGCAACGCGCGCATAACAAATGTATATAGACCGGTAAAAACGCATGGGGCAATAACTTCTCAACATCGCTTGACGTAATAAACGTTTTATTATTTAATAATACAGTGCATAGGATTTGTCTTTTTATAAAAAGATGAATGCGATGGGAAAGTACGGCCTGCTATAGGATCCAGTATACCATAGACAAACCTTATTCCACTCTCATTGCCCCTAAACGCACTAACCAAATATTTAACAAACCCATAAAATGGGACAAAAACGTTGCCGGGTGAGTAATAACACACCTTGCATCTGCAAGCTGACATTTGGCAGCTTCATTCTCGACGCTCATACATTGTCAACTGTCGCATGCAGACTATAGCACGTAGTAGTGCCCACATACAACAAACAAACCATAACAGCTTGTTGAATGGCACTGGCGACAATCAAAATGGCCGAGTTTGAAAAATACATTCGCTGCGACGCTCTACACATAACCCCTGCTGCTGGTGACTGATAAATATCTAATCTCGTTAAAATGAAATAATAAAAAAATCCGCATCCAGTAACGCGGTAATGATAATGATGCTTTCAATCGCGTATTGATTTTCACATCAGGTGTAACGTCTCCCGCTAAAAACTCGCTCGTCTGCATATTGCGTCGTTAATTGCGCGCCACGCATCCGATACAAAACTGTTTTCAACAAAACTTTCAAAAATCCGATTCTCAAGATTTTACTGTTTAAATATAATTAGGACTTTCACGGAACGTTTCCAGGGAGGTGGCAGCTAACATCACGTCACTCCGTTATGCGACTCTCGCCGGCTGCTGCTTGGCTGGCGTTTTAATCTCACTCATAGATTTCTGACAGACGCGTGAGCATATTACGCGATATTACATCCATCATTACATGGTATACACTCGATAACGTAAAATTCGCACTTGCCTATAACCGTGCGATGCAGATTGCCTACCGCGACGACAAAATGAACTGGAGAAATTCTGTCTTGCGCCTCCAAAAAAAAGACGCGACAGCCTCCGAGGATCAACCTCTGGCAGGGTTTGATCAATTAGGCGAAAAATTGCAATTATGTCTACTGGTGGGACTGGCAGCTTAAGCGCTCTAACTCCCAGACAAACAAAAAACCCGAACATGCAACTGCAATTATACATGATTCGCACTAAAGCTAACTCGCGAAACTCGCCCGCTGGGATTCATTTCCTAAATACTTTTACCAAATCAACGTTCATTTATCATAGCACGACGGGTGTATTTCGGGAAATCAACACGTCAGCACCGCAACTAAACCCTGCTAATAGTGCTACTTGTGTTTGATGAAAAGATCGCAAACTGAGATCGATAGTTGAATTCAGAGCTTAGACGGATGAGAATGAAACTAGCAGACACACATTCCCCACGAGACAAAAGGTGACCGCGATAAAAAAAATCGGTCGGATTAAAACTGCAGAACCCTCGCTACCTAACGAGTACTTGCAATCTATAATCTACTTTCTTATTTAGTAGAATATTTCTACTATTTCCACGACTTTAGAGATGAAGAACCACAGCTGTGCTATTAAACGTATCACGTACTCTCCCGTTCACGTTTCATTACACGCGGCTCTCACTGTAATTTGTAAGCTTTAAATTCGAGTTAGCTTAAAATATTAGAAACCATGAAATCTCTTCTTTTTTTACACACTCGAAATATTGCGCTTACATAAAATGACTCGCGACTCTAAAGTAGACAAAGCTTCTCAAACGGCACAACATTCTCCCACATCTTACGCAGTAATTTACGACTGACTGTGTGAAACCGAGTTTTTCAATTTGCTTCCTCCACAAATTGTATGTCAGTAATGACGACCTGTGTGTGCTCCTACTAAATACAGCCACCCGCCAGTATCAAATCAAAGCTTAAGCAACAACCTTTCCGGGAAGAAAACGCGTAAAGAAAACCACGTCGTCCGGCTTACGAGCGGAAAGCAGCCGGAATGATGAAGCACTGCTCATGCGGAGTCATATCTGAGCATAGGTCAAAACGTGCCTCCGGATCCCGGATGCGACGTCGGAGCACTGCCACTGCCACTGCCACCGCCACCGCTGCCGCCGCCACCAGCACCAGCACCACCACCACCACCATCACCAGCACCACTATACTACTAATACTACTGTTGCTACTATCTGCTGCTGCTGCTACTGCTGCTGCTACTGCTACTGCTACTGCTACTGCTACTACTACTACTACTACTACTACTACTACTACTACTACTACTACTACTACTACTACTACTACTACTACTACTACTACTACTCCTGCTACTACTACTAGTAGTAGTAGTACTACTACGCCCACTCACCCACTGTTACTAGGGTGATACTCCATTAGGAGTGTTCCCTACTTTAATGTCATTAATGGTCATAATAACATATATATATATGGTCATGGTCATATATTAGTTTGTGGTTTAATGTCATTTAGGTTAGGGTTAGGGTTAGGGTTAGGGTTAGGGTTAGGATTATCAATCATTAATCATTAATCATTAATGATATCAAAGTTGGGAACACTCCTAATGGAGCGTTAGCCTGTAACGCGTGAGAAACAAGCGGTCGCCCAGTCGCCAGTGGCGATTAGAAAATCGACCGGGCGACTGCTTGCTCGTGTCAGCTGGTCCGGCGGGGCGACTGCATAATCGCCGCACAGGAAATAAAAAATTTACCAAACTGAGGCCATAATAAAAATGTTGTTTGTTTGCCCTCACCCGACCGACCCGCCAAAAAGGGGCCGACACAAACATTTGTATTGACCTTTCCGATTTTTTTTTTAAGTTTCCGTATGTGGCAGGCCTGCGGCAACTGTACTAGAGCTATGCACAGCCTGCGTACGTGCCTGTTGGCTGGGCGGCACTGATTGAAGTAGGGGGGAGGGGCGAGTGCATTATCGATTGTTTCACTTTCAGCTGCGTGCCAGGGTGCATGTTTATTATTAGTGGGTGGCCCGCGGCCGGGCACCGCTGGTATGAGAGCGCGGCAGCAAAACTTTCCTGGAATCGCTGGATTCCAAAACTTGGACAGCAAAACTTTGCTGGAATCCTGGAAATCGCTATATTATAATTTAGATATTAAATAACTTAATTATGGATCGAACTCTGACAGATTAACTTTATTTTCCTTTCCAAAGACTAATACGTGCTAAGAAGATATTTATTATTTCTTAATTCAAGTTCCTTTTATTTGTAATGCTTTTATTTCCACATTACGTGTATGTGTGCGTGCGTGCGTGTGTGATCTGGAAATAAAATCATGCACAATTTAGCTCTGATAAACACAAGTTGTTAAAAGTATTTTATATGTATATTGTATCACTGTACAATGTACATTATATAAATGTGTAGGCAAACATTAAAGGTATCTCCACACAAGCACACCTGAGCACGTAGACATCATTGCTGAATTTGTAAAAATTCCCCCCTCAAAAAAAAGCCAACCACACTTTTCAGCCTGGGTCGGGTGAGGGCAAACAAAAAATTCTTTAATTGTGGCCTGATTATTTTGTTATTCTCTACTAACCTTCTACATTATTCTAATGAAATCAATGGTAAATTTAATCAAATATAGACTAAAAATAGTCAAATTCCGAAGCCTAAAGTTCATGCGAAGTACACAAAGTCACAAACTCTCCATGTTTGTTGTGTTCGATTTTCTAGGTCATGCTGTTAAACCTCTGCTAATTCGATAATACTGGGCATCCCGACCAATCAGCGATCGCGTGTAATTATATATGATAATTTATAGGAATAATGGGCGGCCTTCAGAGACCGCTGATCTTTGATGTTTTGATCGTTGATTTTTGATCGTTGATTTTTGATCTTTGATTGATTTGATTGATTTTTGAGATTGATCTTTGGACTTGTTCCGATTTACTACGCATCAGTGTATCGAAACGAGTAAAAAATATAATTTTTAAGAATACCTTAGAATGCACAAAAAACGTCCCCACATCCGAGTCATTCCCTTTGCTATGACAGAAATCCTGGACCAGTGCCTACTGACCAGGACCAGTACTTCCTCAGAGGTACTGGTCCTGCTGGACCAGTGCCTCCAATTATCAGTTTTCCACCCTGCAGTGTTACTACTGCTGCTGCTGCTGCTACTACTACTACTAATGGTACTTCTGCTGCTCCTACTGTTGCTGCAGTTGTTACTGCTGCTACTGCTGCTGTTGCTACCGCTGCTGCTACCGCTGCTGTTTGGACTACCAAAAATACTGGCCATGCTGCACAGATAAATATACACGTGCAACGGGGTGACAAT